GTTTTCAACTTTGATGAGGTTGATTATCTTTGGTAAATGATGAACAATACTTGGCCAGTTGGCCATGCTTAAAACGTTTTGAAGGAAATCCAAATCCGCAAAACAGCCTGTGACTAATTCATAAAATTTTGTGTTTATAATTAGAATTGTTTGTATTATCAATCAATCTGTAAGGATTATTTTTGCAACAACAAAAAAAATATATGTAAAATCCACTAGTTATTGAACTGTATAATAATAAATAATCGAAATCATTAGAAGTATTACAAATGATTTGTCATTTGCTATAACCGATTGACTAAACGAACCATCTATCATTTTCTATAATTTAGTTTTGATTAATTTAAATGCTGTGATGATATTTATATAGTGATTTATAGTATGTTTTGTTCTGTTCATAAAAACAGAATAGGCCACAACTATTTTGAGGAGGAGTTCCTCCACAGTTTAGTGGAGCCAAGTAATGCTCATAAATGGTCTTTACAACTTCGATTGAAAATCTAAAATCCAAGAGATTCACGTACCAATCCAAGACTATAAATAAATAGTCTCGACTCGGAATGATGATTCTACATCGTAATACAATCAATTAATTTGTGTCAATATATGATATCTACATTAAAAAAAAAATCAAATAAAAGTGAAATTTTCTCAATACGGTTCGTCTCCGTTATTTTTGGCTTTCACTAAATCTTAGCGTGTACGAAAATCCACCTTGATTGTTCGAAGTTTCAAGTTTCACCAACCAAGGCACCTACAACAGCATGTTGTGTACACAATTTAACAACGTTAGGTATCAAGACAAGAAATCAATTCAAGTTTGACACTCGGAATGCACTCACCAACTTCACTGTTGAATTTGGTCAGGTTCTTTAATTTTGTGGTTCCTGTAATGACATCATACTTTTAATGTGACTCTTGCGATGAAAATGTTGCTAATTGAACACTTACGATGCCATGGTTAGCAATTAGAGTCCAAATTATAACATCAATTAGTTTTCCGTTAAAAAACTCACATGAGCGTTTTGTGCATGGTTAAAATCGTCATTTCAAACACTCAACTTAACTCAAAACTAATTGTAGCAATGATCTCTTAACTTAACTCAATATTAGTTTCTTTAGTCTTTGAACTTAATAATGTTTTGTCTTATAGGTCTTTTTCACTAACGCCGTCTATTTTTCTGTTAAATTAGGGATATATTAAGAACTTCGTCCTACATCACTAAAAATGAATTTTTAAAAAATGAGAAAATAAGAAAGAAAAGAAAACTAAAAAAAAGTTTTTTTTTTAGAAACTTGAATACATAGGAATTTTCTTTTTTGTAGTTCAGTATGCGATTTGTAAGTTGAGTCCACCACAATGACCTCCTACCAACTTTGAAATCGCGTTTGCATTATAATCGCGTTTGCATTATATTCAACAATTTTTATAGTTCAATTTTATTTTGTATTAAGTTTTAGTTATTATTGTATAAATTTTTGTTTTTTTTAGCTTATTCTTTTTTTCTTTTTTTTTTTAATTTTAAGTTGAAGAATCTAATATATCCCTAGATTTAACTTTAAAAATAGACGAAGTTAGTGAAAAACACTAATGGTGCAAGACATTGTTAAGTTTTTGATGACCAAAAAAACTAATATGAGTGTTTAAAAACTAAAATTAAACTAAAGGTGAAATTCAAGGACTACTGCCACAATGAATTGGAATGGTGTTTTCTGTCGCTCCCTTCTCTCCAATATTCAGCTCTTCAATTTTTCTTGCGACTTTGTTTTTTTTAATTTTAAAATTTATACGATCTGCATCAATATGCATGGTCCCCTAGCACCATATCGACAACAACTATCTAGTCCTGCTACCGCAGAATTGAAACCAAACAAATCAAATAAATATAAGCCACGTACCTCAAAAATCTGAGTAATGCATGGAGACATTACATATATCTACGTTCATGGAATTCAACTTGGACTTCAAAACATATAAAATAATATCCAAAACTTGTTTTGAAGTCTCATCTGGTCTAATCCCAATATCCAAAACTTGTTTACCTTAACAGAAAAAACTTGGAGTTTACTTCTTGTAGTGTAAGAAGTACGATCGTCGCAAGAACTGAGCTGGTCATACAATGGATAGAATATTAACAACATAGGCGGCAATTGGTGAAGATTATTGTAAAATTGATTCATAAAAAAAATAAACGGTTCCTTTATCAGGATGAACAACGTAATAATCTTCAACTGTCGAGATGATAATGGTACTGTAACCAAATTCATGAGTTTCTATCATTAATAAAAAAAACCTATCAATAAACTGAAAAACTAAACATGGTGAAATCAGCAAATTACGATTAAAAAAAAAGAAGAAGAAGATAATAATGAAAAACTACAAAAAGAGCTATGTCCAAAATGATCATAAAATAATAGATTCCTTTTAGTTCCGTGACCCACGGCCTCAAAGAAAGTTGGTTGCTGAGCTAATATCCACAAGTACGCTTGTAGCTGGAGGAAAAGACTTATACAGAACGAATTTATTATTATTGTGGTATTCTGAAGTGCATGTGACGATGAACTCTTCATTTCTCTCGTAGCTACGCGCTTTGAATTTGAGGGTTTTTGTGTTTCCTCTTTTGCATTTTCAGTTTTGGTCAAATTTACTTAACTGCCACCATATTCAAAATTGTTTATCTTCTGGAAACAGGGATAGAATTGTACTGTTGTTTGCAAGTACGCTGCGGTCGGTCCTACTAATTTACCCAATAAATCTAAAGGAGGACAGATGAGACGTGTCTTGTGTGGGGTTTTACACACAGGAATTCTTCTAGGACCAACATGTATGATACATTTGCCCGCAAGATCTGATTGAGTTTTTTGGTGTTATTTATTAGTAGGATTGATCATTCGTGTCATCAAAATAATTTTCTAGATCTTCGTTTTAAAGCATCACTAAGAAGATAGCAATTGAATAACAGAGTTAAATTTGCTACTCTAAGTACAAAAAACACACCTTTCACGAAGACAGCAACTCAATTAATAAATAAGTAGCAATTTGGTGTAATTTATTGGTAGGGTTGATCATTCGTGGCATCAAAACAGTCTTCTAGATCTTCGTTTTAAAGCATCTCCAAGAAGGTAGCAATTGAATAGCAAAGTTAAATTTGCTACTCTATGTACAAAAAACACATGTTTAACAGAGACAGCAACTCAATTAACAAATAAGTAGCAATTGACTTTGTATATGAAACTACAAACCTTATGTTTAAGCTCTAGATAATAATTACACCATAAAACAATCAACAATACTAAAAAAGGAGATCAAATTTAAAGAATTTAAATTAAAAATAAGATTTTCTCAACGCGTCACGTCTTCAAGAAACAGTGATAGAATTGTACTGTTGCGTGCACGTATGCTGCGGTCGGTCTCACTAATTTACCCAATAAATCTGAAGGAGAATAGATGAGATGTGTCTTGTGTGGGGCTTTACACAAGTGAATTCTTCTGGGACCAACATGTATGATACATTTGCCTGCAAGATCTGGTTGGTTTTTTTGGTGTTATTTATTGGTAAGGTTGATCATTCATGGCATCAAAGCAGGTCTTTTATATATTCGTTTTAAAGTATTTCCAAGAAGGTAGTAATTGAATAGCAACGTTAAATTTGTTACTCTAAGTAGAAAAAACACATCTCTAACGGAGACAACAACTCAATTAACAAATAAGTAGCAACTGACTTTGTATATGAAACTAGAAACTTTACGTTTAAGCTCTACATAATGATTACACCATAAAACAATCAATAATACTTAAAAAAAAAAGATCAAATTTAAAGAATTTAATTAAAAATAAGATTTTCTCAATGCGTCATGTCTTCAAGAAATACGCAACATTGTACACAGAGTCGCCTTGTTACTTCTTCGTTATTTTTAGTTTTAAAAAACTAAATCATTTTGTGCGTATGATTCGAGCTTGTACGAAATATTTAATTTGGCATCAGTTCATTGTTTGAACTTAATTTGAAGTTTAAAGTTTCACCAACCAACGCAAGGCACCTACAACAGCAAGCAAGCATGCATGCATGCATGCATGCGTACACGCGGTGTAATCTAATTAGTTCAACATTGTTAGGTATGAAATGATCGTTCGACCATCGAGACAAGAAAACTGTTAAAGAGTTAATTAGAGACTCGGACTACTGCCCATCTGCTTCGGATTTTTATCAACAAATAAGTAATTAAGAATGAGCTCACCAACTAATATTAATTATTGTGGTGTAATTTAATTAGTTCTCACTTGCAAAACGCTCTCTCTCTCTCTCTCTCTCTCAATCTCAAAACTCATGTAAAGCTCGACTTTCACTGGACACAATATGAACTTTTGAGGTATGTTTAGTTTGGTTTACTTGTTTTTTGAGATAAATTTGTTGAGGATTGAGCGTTTGTTTGTTCCTCCTTAAAATAATTCAATACTAGTGGAGTTCTGTGAAAAGTATTTTATGTTTTTATCTCTATAAGTAAAGCTCTCTTATTAAGACATGTCGGTCTTAATTTTATGGGTGAGTAGGTATGATTAAGAATAAAACGTTAATGTGGTTTATGGAAGAGTAGGTGCGATTAAGAATGCTTCAACACAATATTAATTAGCAGACACCACCAACTTCCCAATGTCCCCCTTTTGAACCACTTCCAAAGGAAGACAGATTGTCTGCCCTCCTGTTTGGATGCCCTTTCTATCCCCTCTTATTTTGTGCGATCACGGTTAAATCACGTCAACATTTTATATTAATTTTTCTATAAAGATAATAAAACAAAAAACAATAGGAATATAAAATCTGTCTGACCACAGAGCCATTGCGACCGCTGTCTCACCATCCAATATCAGCGAGCATATGGATCATGGATGTATTATCGACTACCGACACATCGCCATCCGTATTATTGGTATCAATGCGTCGAATCATCGCCCATGTGACTTTTTGCATAAACTGTGGCAGACATGATAGGATCGTAAATTTGACTGAAACTTTGGTAGCATTTTGCTATTGCATCAGGGTAAAGGCAGAAGATTCCCAAAAGTTACATAAGAACAACAGGCATTGGAATCGAAAACTACGTAAAACATATCCTATAACGATCACATATCGCTTCTCCGAAAAAATTCACATCCAAATTTCTCACAGGTTGGAGGAAGAAAATAAATGAGAACCTAGTGTTTTTCTTCTTTTCTTTCGTAAGAAACCTAACTCCTAGAGCTCATGCCACAAAGCACATCTCCCCCATTGCGTAAACTAAAGCAAAAGGGACAAAGACAGAATTATCTTCTTAGACTTTGTGATGACCCGTTCTTTTGTTTCATATATCATGTCCAGCGACAACGCAAGCGGGAGAGAGATATTTGGGTCAGAGATTTGCACCTTGCGTTTGTTTAAAGTGAGTCGCTAGAAAATGTAGCTGCAACCTTTGACATTTTTTTGTGCTTCTCTCGAAAATCTTCAGGCTTCTAACGATTCACAATGCCTCCTTAAGATTGAATGTCCTTGCTATGTCCCTAGCCTTGTCATACTGGTTCAGATCAACCAGCATTTTCTTTAATCTACGGGCAAGTCCACCAGTTTCACTTTGTGTCACACCAAGCGAATGCTTCTTCTCCAGAGTCCTACCCAACGAGAGCACATAATCCACCAGCGATTGCAACTTACGGCTGCACAATAGTTATTTCTTTAGGCAAATGAATAAGAGCATTGAACATGCAGTTAAAGGCAGTATAAGTACACGAATGTATAATTTTCATTTTATAACTCATGTATTGGTTAATATATTTAAAACTGAAGGTAAAAATTAAAACGACAAAAAAAGGAAACTGAAAGGAAGGAAAAATTATGCAACAAAAAGAGCACAAGGCCTCAGCATTTTAAGCTGTTATAATACTCACAAATTACAATTAGACTTGGCAGTTCCTACTCTCTTAAGTAAAGAAGTTTGCTATGTTTTAAAGGGAATGTAAAGCCGGTTTATGATAAAAATAATGTCCAACTCAACATGATGTTCAAGCCATGTATCTGCAATGAAAGGTTTATAATGTAATAGCATCAAATTGTACAAAGTTCAGTACCCTGTAAAGGTATGGATGACCTTGGACAAGATGAGGAAGGTGAAAAATGGAAAGAAAGGAGAAGGCTAAAACTCTTGCCAATTTGAAGCACCATATTAGTTGGGTCAAAGCATCACATCGTCTACATCATTAATTGAACTCAAAAATCCATCACAGGCATAGGACACAAACATGCACACATCAAATAAGCACACTCACGCATGGAAGTAATCTGTGTTAGTTGAAGCACTACCTGCGGTCCCCTGTGACATTTGAACCTGCCCACACCCCAGATAGAGAAGCAACAATCCTTTCAGTTCTTGTAACAGCATCATGCACATTTGCGGCAATGCTTCGAACATGAGGTAGAACTTTACCACACAACAGCTCCTCAATGACAAGCTTCTCTAGAATGGGAGAAGCAAGGATTTCCTTCCACAAGCAGATATTTTTCATCAAACGAACAGACATACCGAATCGATATGCTGCCAGCCGTGCCGCATCTGGCACTGCTGTCAATACAAGCGGGCTCCATGTCGGGACCTATACAGTGAAATGATCAAAATTAATTTCATGGTTCATAGTTTCTCCGACTTAGAATCTAGAGTTGACAGGTAGGTAAGGAAAATATAAATTAGATAGCATAAACACATCACTTTTATAAAATGTACATGCTTAATGCATCAATGTTTAAAACACACATGCATATGCCTGATTAAATGTCTTAAAGCTTTAGTTTGATAATTCAAAAGTTGTACCGTAAGATTAGTGACAGCATCAGCCAGACGGGTGCGAATAGCACCTAATAAATCTGCAAGAGCCTCACTAGAAGGTGGAACGTAATCTGTTACCAAACTTGTGGCAGCAACTACATTCTCTGTCTCTCGCATACTGAGAATGTTCCAACAGTAAACAACTTGGTGATGCAAAATGGGTAAAGCAACCTTTTCCACCAGATCAGGGACAAGGTTAGCATCAGCATCATCTGATGCCAAATCATTTCCATCCTCCAGTAAACCATAGTCCATTAACAATGAATGCCTGAACAGAAGAAAAGAATATTTAATATAAGGAGGATACAAGTAAGTGAGCAGCACTACTTCTGTGTGTGGTTCAGTGTTCTTTCTAGAGGGTGTGAAATAAAAAGTACCAGTTCATGTTTAGAAAATCTGTTTTATCATGGAGGGGGTCCCACTTCAAAAGCTCCAGCCGCACATATGGAGAGAAAATAGTAGGAACACTTAAAGACATATAAGCATCACGGTAGCTTGATGCATACTCTCTCTTCCAGTCTTCAAACCTTTCTTTGACCACTGAAAGTTGAGAATATTCCTCTGCTGCATCATCGAATACTTTACCTGCAGTGTCGAGCACCAACTGGTGGTGTTTATGGTATACTTGACTCTCACTGTCACTCTCATCAGTGCTTGATTCTCCTTCTATTGTTCGATGGGAACTGTCCACATCCATGGATGACAGTCTCTTAGAGTCATACCGTACTTTCCTGCGTTGTCGAGCCTCATACCTCCCTTTCATATCCATACGTTTCTTAAGGTTCATATCTCTACCAAATTCGTCTAACTTCACTGGTAGATTTGTTTGTTCTCTCAAAGCAGCAGATGCCGCTTGTGCTGCACTTTTAGCAGCTGCAATTACTTCAGCACTGCTACCTTCTTTACTGAAGATAGACATTGCTGCTTTTACAGCTGCTTCTACTTCCATCATTTCATCATCATCAGCACTTCTCCTCTCCAAAGTAGATGACGCACGTTGTTCATGAACTTTCTGCATTTCTGCTTCAAGCTCTTCTATATAGGGAGCTTTAACCTGAAAATGAAGAATTACAGGAATAGAAAAGTTCAGATCAACATGATATGTTGTCCTTACCGGGATTGAAAAAAATGGATCAAGTAGATACTAGAAGTCATATGCCACATCTCAAAAATATGTTTATTTCGAAAATGAAGTAAACCGTCAAACACAGTAAGCACAAGCCAACAGAATATCAATGGTAACCAATGTTGAGTTAGAGGCCTTCATTCTATACAGTCTTCATGTCCTTCATTGGTAATCTATGGGTAGAAGGCCTTTTACCTGCTATGGTTAGCAATCCACAACGAGAACCCTGTTAGAGTTCAAATGTGGTTGCTACAGTGGAATATTCATCAATCATTTATGTGGTTGCCTAACTTTGATTGAATTTCCAAGGATAAACAAATTGCTATCTGCTAATCTGGGAAGGGCCACTGCCAGTTTCCCTTTCAAGAAGAATTGTTAACTTTGTCGACCATTTTTCTTAGAGACAAAGGTGTTGGGGGAAAAACAGACAAGTCTAAATTTTTAAACAAGAACAAGAAACTAGAGATTAATTCCTTTGATATCAACAATGGGGAGTTATGGCCATTTCGAATTCCTCCTACAGTAGCCTACTTTTCGGCAACAAGTCCTCGGTAAGAGAGTGAATTATAATGTGTATCATATGCAATTGTAATGAAGAGTCAATGATTCATCTATGCTGCCAGTTTAGCTTGAAACTCAGGTGCATTGCATTCTGCCAGAACTTAATGTCCTTGGTTCTACCACAATTCTAAATGAAATGCCCTCGAGTTGGCATTCCATATTGGTAAGCAGGCAAAAGAAAACTTTGGGGAGCAAATGCAAACCATATTGTATTTTACAATAACATACCTGCAAAAAGTCACACATGGAAGAGATAAAATCGCGAAGCTTTTGCATGAACTGGTACTTCTCATCAGCAGCAGACAGAGACTTCTCGAGAGCAGTAATATTCAACAGCGAGGCAGACAAATTTTCATCAGTCTTAGTCAGTGACAACATGGTTCTGCCATGACTTGCCTGAGAGATCAAAACATATTTTGAGTACATGGTTATCATATGAATATGCTATAAAGGCAGATAAAATACAACGCAGATATATCATGTCAGTAATGAGCTCCCTGAGATTGATAGAGTTTTTATTTCCAAACGTATGGCTCATTTATTCAACTATGTATTCTCTGGTTTACATTTGTTCTTATTGTCAAATGCATTAATGCCACAAAATCTGTTGGAAAGTAACACAATCAAAATGTTATTCTATCTATGCATTAAAACCATAGCTAGTGAACTAAAGTTAAGACCAACATACACGACCACATTACTAAAAACCAATATGTCACTCAATTATTATCCTATGATACCTAGAAATGCTTTACCTCCAACATTGATAGATTTCGATATAAAATTCAACTTGACCAGAAGAACAGCAATTCATACCTTAAGCTTCATGAAATTTTCTTCCAAAGCTTTCCTAGCAATGTCCGCCTGCGCCTTTATGGACATCACATTCGAACCTTGTGATGCTCCAATTGCCCCTCCTATACTTGGCCCAACAGGCACACTCTGTGCCAAACTATAACCCGTCACTGCAGAGTAGGTAGCCTTTGGCTGGGGCACACTAGGAACCGCAGGAGCACTAGTACTGACCACCCCGTCATCCACCCTCTTTCCCAACCCTTTCCTAAACTGCTCTTCTTCCCAAATCTTCTCTTCCTCATCCTCTTCATCACCATCTTCGACACTTTCCTGCCTCAATCCAGCATCCACTGCCCTATCATCAACATCCTCAAAGACCCCCTTTTTAGAACCGTCCATCTTATCCCCAAACATTGCAATTCTGCCTCGAAACTCTGGTTCCTCATCACTCAATCCTTCCGCAGCGCCATGATTACTCCCTGAATCCAATGAGATAAAATCCGGGGCTGCTGCCCTCGATTTCCTCAGCCGTTCCCTCTTTGCCCGAATTGCATCTATGGTGGCTTGATCAGGAAACAAACCAGGTGAGCTCTTGCCCTTGTCAATTCCCATCGAGGCCAATCGGGCCTCCGCATCGTCCTTTTCCCTATTAAACAAACTACCCCTTTCCTTCTCATGCTTCTCGTCGGAATCGGAGTCCAACTCCCGGGCTTCTCTCAGCGTATCGGAGATTGAGTCTGTGGGTTTGACAAGGCCCTTCAGAACAATGGTGGGCTCGGAGGAAGGTCGGGAGCTGGCTAGGGTTCGCGTGTTCTTCTGCAGCTCACGGAGCGCTTCTTTCGTGTAGGTACCTGCTTGTGGCTGAACGTTGGACGGCACGGAAGTGGACGCGGAAGACGAATGAGCGAGACGGTCTTTGAGAGCCGTCAACTTATGAGCTGAAGAAGGCTTGCCGAGACGGGAGGAGGGCTTCTCGCGTTTGGAAGAAGAGGCGGGGCGGGACGGGGCGGCTGCGTTTTCTTCGTCGTCAACGAAGCTGAGAAGCTTCGGGGCTTGGTTCTGTGGCTTCTTGGGCTTTGACGAGGAGGCGGAAGAGGGTTTTGATGAGGATTTAACTGCGGTTGTGGTGTCATTTGCGTCGTCGTTTTGATCGTCGCCGTCGTCGGCGCGGCGGCGGAAGTTTCTGGATCTGCTGCTCATGGTGGCGGTAGCGGGTTTAGGGATTGCAGCATTCACTACTGCCCTGGTCTAGTCATTCTGCAGGAACTGAGATCCTCTCCGGATGCTTCTCTCGGGATCTGATGGAATCAATCAATCTTCACCGTTCACACCGGATCGTGCTGTTAGAAATCTCTTCCACTTCTTTTTCCGTTTTTTTTTTCGCAAAACCCGATGCATCTCTTGCTCTCCTTTCTTTTTTTTTTTTTTTTTTTTTGTTCTGTTCATCACCATTTCGCAGAACAAATCTCTTACAATAAAATTTGTTTAAGAAACAATGCCCGCGGTTTCAAATTTCAAAAAGCAATAGATTTAAAAAATTAAAAACGAAATAAATTGTAATTTTTTTTTTTTGGATAGAAAGGGAACAAATATATTAAAGAGAAAAGTGCATAGAGCAACCGTACAGTCAAATAGAAAAGCTGGACGAGCCACCGTCAGAATAGATCTATCCCAAACATGAAAATTGTTTACTGAAAAATCAACACTCGTGATAGCATCCATCAGGAAATTAGCCTCTCTGAAAACATGCATCCAGCTAATGTCCTCAAAGAAGCACGCCAGCATACGAATGTCATCAAGGATGGTCTTCAGTCTCCAGGGAGCATTAAAGACACCGTAGATACACTCAATAACTAGTTTAGAGTTGCCTTCCACAATGATCCGCTTAAAACCTCTCGAATTTTCCATCGAGAAACCACCGCAAAGTGCCAAACATTTCGCCACATAAATAATGTTCTGCCCAACACGACGAGCCCCAACAATGATAGGTGTTCCATTCTCATTTCTAATCACAAAACCGGAGGCAGCATGTTGATTAATCACTAAGCCATTAAAATTGAGCTTGACAAAACTAGCTATAGAGGAGACCATCGAATGGAGTTAGGCTTCGTCTTATGCCCTCCTGAAGGACCGTCAAGCATCAAATGATTTGTTGTAAGATAATCCGTACCCATGCAGAGTGCGGAGTTCACAATTCCAATGGTAGATATGGCAGGATAGTTCCACACTTTGTCTAGCCAAATCATAGTTAACAAAAAGGTAACTTAGACTTTCAACAGGGAGGAAAAATAGTAGGCATATTGTTAACATGTCTAGCCAAACGATCCCTCGTTTGGAGTTTACCCAAAATGAGAAGCCAATTAAAAATTTTAACTTTATGCGGTAAGCTAAGCTTCCACATTCTTTTAAGAAGCTTACTGGAAATAACATTGATATTGGTAGAGTTCTAATTTACCATTAGAGCATCCCCAGCGTGGGGTTTAGCTCGGGGGACGGGCTCCAAAACGGAGGCCCGAGTGAAGGTGGACCAGCTCCAGCGTTGGGAAGCCGGGGGGAAGGGGAAGGCCCGAGGGCCAGGCCCGTGAGGAATTGACAGGCCTTGAGCCCGGGGTGGGAGTGACGCCATGCTGACGCCAGGGTGGCGTCAGCCTATTATTTAATTTTTTTTGTGTCAGGCGCGTGCACCCCACCCGCGCGTGGGGGCGCGTCCTGACACTTTAATCAGAAAAAAAAAAAGTTTTGTCTGTTACCGTTGGGAAGCCATGTGGCTTCCCACGGTACGTTAGATCCTAACGGTCACTTAATGTGGACCGTTAGATCTCAACGGTAAAAAATTTTAAAACTGTCAGATTTAATATCCACCGTTCGATCTGAGATCAACGGTGGATATTAAAATGCTTTATAAATTAAAAAATAAATGAAAAAATAGTTTAAAAAATCTGAAAAGTTACCGTTGTGACACGTGGCACAATCTGGAGCGTTGGAATTCAAATTTTTTTATATCCAACGGCAGAGATTAATTAATTGAATAAAAATTCAAAAAAAAATGTAAAAAATTCAAAAAAATTCAAAAAAAAATCTGAAAAAAATTGTAAAAAAAATTGTTTTTACTTTTCTATAAATACCTTCTCATTATCATCTACCTTCACAACAATTTCATATTTTCTCAACCACTTTCAATCACATTCCTTTCTTTGTCTCAAAGTTTGAATCCATTTTTTTTCAACAAAATGATCACTGGTGCAGGTACGAATTGGTCGCTTATTGAAGATGTTGCGTTGTGTACTAGCTGGGTTGAAGTTACTCATAGTTCGCTTACGGGTAATGAGATGCAGTTGCGAGAAATGTGGAGTCTTATTCATACCAATTATCTTGAGAAAATTGGTGGGAAAAGAACCAAAGAATCGATGTCCAGTCGTTGGAAATTACTTAGCCAATCGTTTAGTACGTGGAGAGACGCTTTGGCACAAGCTAGTAATAATATTCAAAGTGGGGAAAATTACTCGGATATGGTAACAAGATATTATTATTTATTGTTTGTATTCTTTATTTGTTACGTACAAAATTTATTATTTATTGTTACTTATTTGTTACATTATAATTATGTTGTTTGTTACATTATAATTATGTTATTGTTACTTATTTGTTACATTTATTTGTTACATTATAATTATGTTGTTTGTATTATTTATTTGTTACTTATTTTCATTAAAATTAATGTATATATATATATTTGTTAATTATTTTCATTATTTACTAAACTTGAAGCCTTCTTATTTGCTTTGTTACTTATTTTCATTATCTTTGTTACTTATATATATATATATATATATGTATATATTTGCTAGTTACTTATTTTCATTATAATTATTTATTTGTATTATTTATTTGTTACTTATTTTTATTGTGTAGGAACTTCAAGCACAAGCTTGGTATGCTGCCAAAACCAAAGGCAAAAATAAATCATTCAACCGGTGGGAATGTTGGAATATTGTCAAAGATTGTCCTAAATTTAGAGTTGTGTCAGTTGGTCCAGAAGTGCACATGAACAGCACCCCTCTAAACTCTACACCCGATCATGTTCATGAAGATGATGCAGAAGAAGTGCCCGAAACGCCTCTCCCTGAACAAGCGTCGGGTTCGACCCGTTTTCCAATTAGGCCTCAAGGTAAGAAGGCTACAAAGAGAAAAGGGAGTGCTTCCAAGAACGATTATGCAAAGTTCATGGAAGAACTTACTCGCCAAGGTGAATTGACTTTGGCGAGGGAACTGGCGAAAGATGAGGCTGATAAGGCTGATAAGGCATCAAAAGCAGCAGCTGTTGAGAGAGAATTTTATGCTAATGAGAGAGAAAGAGAGCTACTTAGGCAAGAAAGGGAACATGTTAGAGAAGAAAGACGAGCTCAATAAGATCGTGAGATTATGAACATGTCTTTAGAAGGGAAGTCTCCAAATTCTAAATTTTTTTGGAAGTCAGAGAAAGCGGACGTGGTGCGAAGGAGGCGTGCAAGAGAAACAATAGCAAGCCAAGGTGGTTCTAGCACCGCAAGAGAAGATCATCCTAGCAGCACAAATTGGTTAAGTGATGATGAATAGAGTACTTTTTGTAATCGGAGCCCATAATTTTCCAATCACTTTGGGTTGTAATTTATTATTTATTGTTTGTATTATTTATGTTGTTTCCATGTTCATGAATATTTATTCAAATTAATTTGGTAAGTTATTTATATTAAGAATTAATTTGGTAAGTTATTTAATTTGGTAAGTTATTTATGTTGTTAAAAGTCCATTAAACATAAACATAAACATACTAAGAATTACATAAACATAAACATAACAAAATTACATAAACATAAACATAAACATAAACATACTAAGAATTACATAAACATAAACATAAAAAAATTACATAAAAAAATTACATAAACATAAACATAAAAAAATTACATAAACATAAACATAAACATATACTAAGAATTACATAAACATAAACATAAAAAAATTACATAAACATACCAAATAATAAAACACACCAAATAAAATAACATAAACATACCAAATTCAAAATAACACACTAAAATGAACTTAATTATCCTCAGCTTGTTTCAATGCCCACTGGTGCTCTATCAAGTCAATTTGTCGGGCATTGTGCATGTCTGGCATTTGAAATGCAGTATATCGTTGAATGAGCCTTTCATTGTAACGTCCATCCCTTTGTAATGGCTCATGTTGCACGGGGTCATCGGTGGCGTTATGAGCACAATATATACGTGTTCTTGAATTGTTCATCGGGTCTGGCTCATATTCATCAACAGCTTCATAATCGTACTCATCTTCCACAATCATGTTGTGAAGAATGATGCACGTCATCATGATGGATCGAAGCGACTCTACATCAAACAATCTGGCCGCACCCCTGACGATCGCCCAGCGAGCTTGGAGGATACCAAAACAACGCTCCACATCCTTCCTGCACCCCTCTTGACAGCTTGCAAAGTGTTTTTCCTTCGCACTCCGCGGACGTGGCACTGTTTTGACAAATGTTGACCAGCGCGGGTAGATGCCGTCAGCTAGGTAGTATGGCCCGTCGTACATACGTCCGTTGACCTCATATGTAACTTTTGGTGCCTTTCCTTGCAGGACATCGTTGAACACTGGGGATTGGGCAAGGACGTTGATGTCATTTTGAGCTCCCGGGACCCCAAAAAAGGCGTGCCAAATCCATGTATCAAAAGATGTCACCGCCTCCAGAATGATACTTTTTGCCCCTTTTCTGTCCCCGTAAGCGCCTTGCCATGCACTTGGACAGTTTTTCCACGTCCAGTGCATACAATCAATGCTTCCAATCATCCCAGGAAAGCCACGCATCTCCGCCTTCTTCAACAGCCGCTCCAAGTCCATGTGTGTGGGTTTGCGGAGGTACTCAGCGGTGTAGATAGATTCGATTGCTCCGCAAAACCTCATCAGGGACTCAAGAATGGTTGATTGCCCCATCCTCGTTATCTCATCCACTTGGTCTGCAGATGCTCCATATGCAAGCATCCGCAAGGCAGCAGTAATTTTTTGCTCCGGCAGTAGACCCATAGCACCAAAAGCATCTTTTTTTTGCACAAAATAAGAATCATGGTTGCAAACAGCAATCATGATTTTGTTGAACAAATGTCGTTCCATTCTAAAACGACGTCTAAAGTACGTATCAGGGAATGCACTATTAGAAACAAAATAATCATCCAAGAGTTCCATACCTCGTCGTTGCCTGCTTCTATCAATGTTTCCGGAACGCCTGGGCCTGCAGATCTGAGCCGCAGCTTGGATGACTCGACGGGAATGTGAGGCTCTGCCCCTTCTTACGTCGTCATCTCTCATTTGACGCTCCTCATCTTCTTCCCTCTCATTTCTTACCCCCTGCTGATTGAACATTGATTCTGATTGGT